AAAAAAAAAGTTTCCTTAATAATGTTATATAATAAAAAGAAAAGACAGTACACTGTACTTTTAAACTGTTTTTAAAATTTGTTCTTTTCCTAAATGTACTTTTATTTACATTACTCAATATCAGCCACTGGAAGTCAAGAAAATTTAGAACTTTAGAAAGCAAGCCTAATTAGAATACAGGGCTGGGCAGGTGGGCATACGCCTTTAGTTCCAGCACTTAGGAGACACAAACAGGCAGATCTCTGTGAGACTGAGGCCAGTGTGGTCTCCAAAGGGAGTTCAAGGCCAGCTGGGGCTACAGGAGGACACTGTCCCCACTGCCCCCCACCAAAAACGAATTAGAATATAAACAAAAGTTAATCATAGAAATATAACTGAAAATAACTGCTTTAGCATATGAGAAATATAAGCATTATTGCCTAAAGAAATGGTATTTTTATAAGAATACCAAAATTATAACCCTATATGTTTCCCTTCCTCCCCATCCTGCCCTCTCTCTCTCTTTTTTCTTTCTTTCACTCTATACTCACCACTTTCCATCTTTCTTTCACCAGGATTCCAACACTGAGGATATCTGGCTGCTCTCCTCCCCCACTCATTGCAAAACACTGATGTGATAAAACAGCTACACAGGCATCTAGCTCCCAAGGGTGGTTTCCATTTAATCTAAAAGAAACAGCAGCAACAGGGCTAATTAACACAAATAACGTTCCAGCATCAAGCAGCACTACTAATCCTATATATTAATTAGGTTGCTTACTTGGAAGAGTAGGGGAACCCCTACAAATTACATTCTGAAAACTATGAAATACATATTATCTTTCCAGTAGTTACCAAACCATCAAAGAAACAACACATACACTTTTTTTGGTTTTGGGTGTTTTCTTCTTGTTTTTGTCTTTTTGAGACAGGGTCCCTGTAGCCCCAACCGGCCTGGATCTCTCTAAGTAGACCAGGCTGGCTTGGAACTCAGAAATCCACCTGTCTCTGCTTTGCTGGGATTAAATGCATGTGCCACCACACCCAGCAACACAGACATTTTTTACAATAAGTGAAGTATCACAGGGTAAGCATAGGGGTCAATGGCAGTTGAATGAGATGGACCATTACCCTGAGTACAATATATTGCCAAAGAAAAACACACAGTAGCCAATTTATAACACCTTACAGTTTTGAACCCAGGGCCCCATGCATGCTAGTCAAGTGATTACCATTAAGCTATACACTTAGCCCTCTTTATATTTTTTTGAGACAGTCTCTCTAAGTTGTTTAGGCTTGTCTTGAATTCACTCTATAGCCCAAGCTGGCTTTGAACTTGTGACCCTCCTGCTTCAGCCTCCCATTTAACTGGATTACAGGCATGCACCGCCAGACCAGCCAATAACTTAGGTTTAGCATACTATTTAATATCATTAGTGCCAATAATACTTAAAATTTTTATTACATTCACTTATTTATTTTACGTGTTTCTATGAACCACAGTGCACATGTTCTCTCCTTCCACCACGTGGTTTCTGGATAGTTTCTGGATGGAATTCAAGTCATCAGGATTGGCAGCAAGTATCTTTACCTGCTGAGCCATCTCATCTAAATCTTACAAAACACATCTTAAATGCATAGGAAATAAGCATGAAGACAGAAGAGGCTGTTGCTCAAACACTAACACTCTATACTGTTTTTGTATTTTCTTAAAAAGGGAGTAACAGTAAAAAAGAACAGTACACCTGTAGAAAACAAAGTCACAAAGAGTAACTTTTATGGAAATATTGTTCTGTTGTATTTCTTCTTTTCTTTTGGTCTTTTCTGAGACGGGGTCTCCTATGGGGAGACCCCGTCTCAAAAAGACAGACAGACAGACAGACAGACAGACACACATACACACACACACACACACACACACACAAACAAAAAAAAAAAAAAAAGCAAGATGCAGAGTGTGGTGGTACATGCCTTTAATCCAGGAGGCAAAGACTGGTGGATCTCTGTGAGACTAAGGCCAGCATAGACTACAAAGTAAGTTCCAGGCCAGCTGGGGCAACAGGGAGACCCTGTCTCAAAACAGAAGGAAGAGGAAGAGGAAGAAGAGAAGGAAGAGGAGGGTGAGGAGAAGGGTTTATAGTGTGTTGTCTTTTGTGTAAGAGAGAAAAATGTTTAGTAAACTGAAGAAACTGCTTTTATTTACGAGAAAAAAGGGAAGATTAGCCAAAAGGCATGAAGATTATTCTTTATAATAATAAGGCGCAAGCTTTCAGCAAAGGGCCAGAAAACAAATATTTCTTCACTGGCCATATATTCTGTCCTAGTTACTCAGCACTGCCAAGGCAACACAAAGGAAGTCAAAGACAAAGTAATGAGTGTGGCTTGGTTTCAACACACTTTATTTACAAAAGAAAAAGGAAGATGACCAAAATTTTTAAATAAATTTTCTTATTTTTATTTTATGTGTATGAGTGTTTTTCCTGAACATATATAAGTGCATCCGTGTCATGCAATGACTGAGGAAGTCAGAAGAAGCCGTCAGATCCCCTGAAAAACTGGAGTTATGGATGGTTGTTAGCCACCATATGAGTGCTGGGAATCGAACCCGGGACCTCTGTAGTGCAGTCAGTGCTCTTAACTGCTTAGCAGATGGCCAAATTTGACTGGGAGATTACTGCTTACCCACATTTACTAATAATAAAATTTAAAAAAACAAAATAATAAAATAGATGAGCTGGGCATGGTAGGGTACACCTTTAATCACAGTACTCTGGAGACAGAGGGAACTGGTCACTGTGAGTTTGAGGCCAGCCTGGTCTACATAATAAGTTCCAGGTCATCCAAAGGTACATAACGAGACGTTATTTCTACATGAATGAATGAATGAATCAATGAATCAATCAATCAATGGGGAGAAATGGCAAGGATAAAGATAAAAGCTAGGTGTCTGGGACTACACTATAATGCGGTTTTCATTTTGGAACCATATAAATGTTTTACATATAACAGAAAAAAGTTTGTATATTACAAGTTCAGCAATAATAAGAGTGCATCAAAACTGGCCTTACTTTAGACAGGGGTAGTGGCACATGCCCATGATCCCAGTACAAAAGAGGCTAAGGCAGAGAAGACGTGGAATTCAAGCCTAGCCTGAGATTCTGAGACATATAATAAGACCATATCTCAACACTAACACACACACACACACACACACACACACAAACATACACAAACTGGATTAAAATTTTCATTTTATGTGTATGAGTGTTTTGCCTGCATGTATCTAAGTGCACCATGTGCATGCAATGCCTGTGGAGGCCAGAAGAGGGCATCAGATACCTTGGAACTGGTTTTATGGACAGTTGACAGCTGCCATATGAGTGCTGGGAACTAAACCCCAGTCTTCTGTAAGAGCAGCCACTGCTCCTAACTGATGAGCCATCTCTCCAGCACCTCCTCAAATTGGCTTTAAGTCCCTTCCAATCTATCAATCATAGCTTCATCTCAGGCTGGTAGTAAGTATCTGTAGTCCCAGCTACTCAGAAAGAGCAGAATTCCTTGAACCTAAAGTTCAAAGCCAGCCTGGGCAACAGAGCAGATCCTGTCTCTAAAAATTATCATGATAATAGCTTCAAGTGACTGACTGCACATTAGAAAGTCAATTCAGGGGGCTGGAGAGATGGATCAGTGGTTAAGCAGCCTAAACACATTATAACTAAAATAATAATTCTGAGCACCCACATTGCAGTTAACAACAGTTTGTAACTCCAGTTCCGAGGATGCCCTCTTCTGATCATCATGGGCATTGCACAACACAGATACACTTACCTGTATACATGCAGACAATACACACATAAACATAAAATAAAAATAATAAAATATTTTTTAAAAAAGAAAGTCTAATCTCAGCACTCGGGAGGCAGAGGCAGGTGGATCTCTGTGAGTTCAAGGCCAGCCTGGTCGACATAGTGAGTTCCAGGACAGCTGGAGCTACAGGGAGACCCTGTCTCAAAAAGACCAAAAAACAAAAACAAAAACAAAAAAGAAAGTCAATTGATCAATAACAGTCTCATTTCATCTGCATAGCAAAAGGATAGTTCCTAAATACTGCTTCATCAATTCTTGAACTCCACAATTCTCAAAACCCAACATAAGATCAACAGTTCTTTTCACTTAAATTGTGCCCCACAGTAATAGCACTTCCTTGCATAGATGACAATAAATGTAGCACTTTGTTCAGATACTGAGTGGTGGTGTTAAGGTAACTAACAGATAAAGAAAAAAGAAGAAACAGAAAACAGAGCTGAGTATAGTGGCACATACCTGCAACCCCAGAACTTGAGAGGTGAAGTCATAGGAAGATCAAGAGTTCATACCAAGTTCAAGGCTAGCCTGGACTACATGAGAACCTGTTCTGACTCTGAAAGACAAATATCACATTTTCTCTCACATGTGGATCGTGTGTGTGTGTGTGTGTGTGTGTGTGTGTGTGTGTGTGTGTGTGTCTCTGTAACTGAAGGGGAATATTTGGGAAAAGGAGATTTTGAACAAGAACATGAAAGGGGAGGCAGGAGAGGATAGAGGGTAAATACAGTCAAAGTACATAATATACTTGAATGAGAATGCCTTTATGAAACCTATCACAATATGAAACAAATATATCATTAAAAACCCTTCTAAAGACATTATAACTAAAATAATACATGTTCAAAACAAAGGAAATGCATTGAAATATGCAGATTAAGATGACAGATTACTTATGGAGACCAATAGTTTTGGAGGCCAAAAAGACAGGAAAATATTTTTCAAGTACTCATAAGAAGTAACATAAAATAAGTAATAAAGTAGTTGACCTAAACCCAAACATGCCAGAAATTACATTAAAATATAAATGACCTAAACATATCACTAAAAAGACAGAAATTAGCAGATAAATACAATTCTACAAGAAACTCATTTTTTAAATGACATATGTAGGTGCTGGAGAGAAATTCAGTGGTTAAGAGCACTTGCTGCTGGAGATCCTAGCAGACAACCTGAGAGGGTGGGTTCAGACCTCCTCCATCGAGGTAGCTGCTCAGAGCTCAGCAGACTGCCAGAGAGTGGGAGTTCTGGCCTCCGACTACCAGAGGGCCTGAGAACCCAGGGGACAGCCTGAGAGCCCCCAGATCCTGACTCCTCTTGGTGGTGAGCTTCCCCTAATTGCGCCATACCATCCCCCTACCTGGGATTTTGTGAAGCCCCTCCCAAGGCCCCAGGACTGATCTGGCTTTGGTGGGCTAGGGCTGAGATCCTAGTGGACAGCCTGAGAGGGTGGGTTCTGACCTCCATGGGGTAGTCTGCTCGGAGCTCAGCAGACCGCCAGAGAGTGCCGGGTTCTGGCCTCCCTCTGGCCTCCAACTACCAGAGGGCCTGAGAACCCAGGGGAAAGCCTGACAGCCTCCAGATACTGCCTCTACTGGTGGTGATCTTTCCCTAATTGCACAATACCATCCCCCTACCTGGGATTTTGTGAGGTCCCTCCCAAGGCCCCAGGGCAGATCTGGCTTTGGTAGGCTAAGGCTGGGATCTCAACAGACCTCCAGAGAGTTCTGGCCCCCCTCAGGTCTCCCTCTGGCGTAGGGTTGACAATGCACAGGACTGCCTGAGAGAGCCTGGATGCTGCCTCCATGTGATGAAGGAAACCTGAATATACCTGACTGGAACCTGAATTGGGCTTCTGTGGGTACCCCTGAATAGCTGATCTGAAGTCATCAGTCCCCTCCAAAATAAGCCTGAGAGAACCTGAACCCAGTACCAACCAGCTTTACATAACCAATAAAGAAAGGATCTAGGCACCCTGGTGATACAAACAGAAGAATACTTCAACTTAATTCTCAGATCAGAATCATAAACAACAAAAGAAATTCACATGCCAAAACCATAATGAAAGAATAATAAAATGGGTGCTCACTTCGGCAGTGCATATACTGAAATTGGAACAATACAGAGAAGATTAGCATGGCCCCTGCGTAAGGATGACACCCAAATTCATGAAGCATTATATAATTTTTCTAAAATCTTATCATCAGTACATTTAAATAAAAGCTTGAAGGAATAAAAAAATAATAATAATAAAATGGAAAGCCAAAACACTATGTCCCCAGCAAAGCCCATCAATCCTGTAGAAGAGTTCTACAAGGAGAACCCTGTAGAGATAACCCAGGACACTGAATTTAAAAGAACGATTATAAACATGATCAAGGCATTCAACTAATTTAAAAATCACACGAACAGGGGCTGGAGAGATGGCTCAGCGGTTAAGAACACTGGTTGTTCTTGCAGAAGACCCAGGATCAAATCCCAGCACCCAATGGCAGCTAATAACTGTCTGTAACTCCAGTTCTGGGGATCCGACAGGCTCTTCTGTCCTCCGTGGGCATTGCACGACATGGGTGCACTTACCTACATGCAGGCAATACATGCATATACATAAAATAAAAATAATAAATCAAATAAATCAAAGAGCTAAAAGAAGATAAGGATAAACTTCTGAATGAATTCACCAAAGAGATATAAACATTGAAGAAAACTCAGGCAGAAATGAAGAAGTGCAAAACTCAATAAGCCAACTTGAAACAACAAGGGAAAGCCTCACCTCTAGAATGAATGAAATGGAAAAAGAATATCAACACTGGAGGATAAAGTTGAAGAATTGGATCACGCAAGCAAAGAGTATGGAAAATTAAAAAAATACACAGGAATGGAATATGAAAGAGATGTGGGACACCATGAAAAGACCAAATCTACGGATCATAAAAATAGAAGAATAATTTCGGGTTAATGGTATAGACCAGATCTTAAACAGGATTGTAGAAGAGAATTTCCCAAAATTAAGGAAAGACATCCCTATACAAATACAAGAAGCACATAGAACACCAAATAGACAGGATCAAAAAAGAAACCCTCCATGACATATCATAGTAAAAACACTAAATGTACAGAACAAAGAGAGAATAGTGAAAGCAGCAAAAGAGAAACAATAAGTCACATATAAAGGAAAACCCATTAGAATTACAGCTGACTCATCAGTGCAAACATGAAAGCCAGAAGAGCCTGGGCCAAGGTATTTCCAGTTCTACATGACAATAGATGCCAACCCAGAATACTATATCCAGCAAAAATGTCTATTATAGTTGAAGGGGAAAGAAAAATCTTCCATTACACGAATAGCCTGAAAGAATACATGTCTACAAAATCAGCAATACAGAGAGCAGAGAGAGAAACAACTATACTCCAGGGACAATGAAAGAAAATAAATAAAGGTATAATTGGGGAAACACAAAATTAGACAGAGAACACAAACAGCAATCAAAATGATGGCAACCAATGCACATCTTTCC